AAGAAAAAATCAGGTAAACTGTCTAATCACCGAATTTTGTCCAACCAATGTTAAAATATTAAACTTTAAATACAGAAGTAATTACAAATTTAGTCCCAAACCATTTTCTTAGGACACCAATATTACTTAACTACATTACTTTTCAAGTCGCAAACTTCATCGCTTCATGACTTAAAATTAGGTTTCAATTCTAATAGGAAAGATTTATTAGTTAATGATATTTTACCTTTGGTTAACTCTTATTATAAATAGAAGTAGTAACACAATTTTAAAACGAAGTTTTAAGCATGAACTCTAGGCAAACACAATTTTGCTTACTAATTTGTTGCGATCGACAACGTCAAAACACGTCACGTTGCCCGTTATGGAAATCGTTTCGCAGAATCACTAGCCTGAAAACAAAGTAAAACAACAATTAACAAATTATCATCAAAGTTTTTATTTTAACATACAGTAAACAAATATTGTGTTCTTCAAAATAGTGTATTACGTTTGAATCATAAAAGGTCAGGGTATTAATATTTTTAAAACGAAAGTTCAAGCAGGAAATGTGAAGATGAAGATTAGCGGTCTTTTCTACAAGAATAGGAAATTCATTTACTAAACTAATTCGATCACTATAATAAAATTTTCAACCAAACACCACAGTTCTCTTCGTTTCTTTCGAGGTATTAATCAAATGGAAGTTGTAAATGAATAAATTAAGCCTGTATTCTCTATTAACTCGAACACTCAATGCAATTTTACAATAGGCTTACCTGAAGAAATCAAATTAAAACATCCCTAGGCATCAACAGCCCAGTATTCAGCACTCCTACCCTGACATGAAATATCATTAGTATGGTCATGTTTTGTAAATTAGTAGTTTATTAATGTTGAATTATTCTAGACTTTAGGGTTATCTACGCCCAAGGCATATATATGGCATAACTCGTATTTTGAACAACCTTTTGGAATTTTTGGTTTTTAATGCACTTGAAAATGAATGGAAAAAAAATCGCTTTTTAAATTTGGTGCGCCAGAAGCGTTTTTCTAGATTTACCTTCACCAGGAACACTCGAACCATAAAGGTTGAAATACATAATGTATTAATACCCAAATATCGTGAGGGGCTCTTTTGATCTTAATCTTTGAGAAGCTTTATTGAAATTTATATTTGAGAGCTATAAAACCAGGTTTAATTACCCATTTTCTACTTAAGGAAATGCCTGTACCAAGTCAGGAATATGACAGTTGTTTTCCCGTTGTTTTCCATTCTTTTGATGTGTATGAGCTTTTGATTTTGCCATTTGATAAAGGACTTTCCGTTTTGAATTTTCCTTAGAGTTCGGTATTTTTGTTATTTTACTTTATAATCGTATTTGAGTTGCTTCCTTATTTTTCATTCGAGTACCGTTGATGAGTCTTGTCTAGACGAAACACGCGACTGGCATAATAAATTAAAAGCCCTGTATCTTCGTCCCTATATCAGAGGATATCACCAATCCCAGTCGTCAGCACCCGTGTGCTGACACGAAATAACATTTAAAAGTCACTCAAGTGTTTTCAAACCAGGTCATATTTGGCTGTTTCAATTTTAGACTTTCATTGCTATACAGTTCGGTATTGATTTTGTTTCGAACTGTTTTAGTTTGAGCGCCATTGATGAATCTTGCGAAGACGAAACGAGCGACCATCGTGTTAAATTATAAGCCTGGTGTCTTTGATGAGTTATGATATGATTATTCTTTCAGACAATCTAATGTCACTCTCGTTTTTTATGGAAAATTTGCGTTGTTCTTACATGTATGGCTCCTTGACGTACAATTTTCCAGTTAGCACTAATTAGTTATGAGGTTCACCCCTAGTTTCTTGTGGTACGTGTTGCTTAGTCTTTAGTTGTCTATTTAGTGTATTGTGAACTTGTTTGTCTTTTCTTGTTCATTCGATATTTGCCATGGCGTTGTCGGTTTCTCTCTGCTTGAATGTCCCATGGTGTCTTTTTCTATGGAGTGGTTGTTCAGATGATGTCACTGGCTACTTTGAAATATCAGTTTGTTTTTAACTTGCTGTTTCAGGTACAGTTGCGTAAATGATTGATTGTTGTTGATTTACACCATGTTACAAACATTTCATGTATATTCAGGACGACTACATGTAGCTGAATACAGGTCATTCAGAAAGACATCAAAGAAGCAATAATAAAAAGCCCTGTTTCCGTGTGTGAAGTGACGATCTTTAGTTTGTTTTTGTTGTATCTAGTATATAAACCAGTGGCATTTATCCATTTTTAATAACTTCTTATAAATCAAACATTTAAAGGGATTATTGTTCTTTTAGTCCTTGATATAAGACATAACCACGTTTTTCTTCAAATGCTAACAGAAAAATCAGAAAATCTCAATTTTAAAGTCTTATCTTACTCTAAACTATCGTATGATGATAACAAAATGAATACCAAAAATAAATTGCCGTATTAAAGAAAGTTTGCAGTTAAGTTAGCAAGTTCAAAGTACTTAAATTTCTGATATGAAATCATGTTGCTCGTTCCGTAATCGAATCCACGTCCGTTTGCTCATAAGACTGTAAAATTGCAAGTTCATGCGATACTACTAAACAACTTTATATAATCTAAAGATGTTTTATACTATGCAAATAGACTTCTTCATTCCGTGTACAACATTAAAAGGCAATCTAAGTAAGCATTGTTCAGTTACCATAAACCGTAATGATATTAAGATTTGATTTATGTACTTTTATGTGTATATAACGTTTTGTTATTTTTTTGTAGGAATTTAAAGAATGGCATTGAGTAGGTTTTAACATTAGATCTATTTGTGTGACCTAATAAATGATTGTGTAATATAAATATCTATTTATAGTTTATTGACATAGTTTGGAATGCTTTAAATGGTAATAGAAGGTAAGACGTTCAGCTCTCAAGAAAGCCCTGCACTTTTAAATTTGTAATTGACATCATTATTCCTAATAAAATAAAATGTTATTAAGATCATTGCTAGCTTGAAAGTTTGTAAATGGACATACGATTTCTTTGAGTTAGAATAACGATTCAAACCTCGGAGTCCATCACTTCATTTCATACCCAAAAAGACAGTTCAGTTACCCCATACACTATTTTCTATATTTAATTTTGTAGTTTTCAATTCCTTTGTTTTTAAAATGATGTTTGTTCTTGACAGTTACCATTCTTTTATGATGAAAGATAAGTCTGAGGATCGGTTTGCGAAATGTGAAACACTCGAGGTATAAAATTAAGATTTAATATTGTTTATAGCAGCCTAAATCTAAATCCGTTAGATTTATACTGATTTGTACTGATTGGCATTTTTACATTGGACATATTCTCAGTTGGCATGGGCCTTGAACTAGCTGTCAGGAACTGCGAGTGCTCGTAGATTTATAATCTGTGCTATTTGACATGTGTTTTTTGTTCTTTGTGCCGGTTTGATGCGTCGAGCCTTTTCGAACTATTTTTTTACAGTTTGTTCTTATATTGTTTTGTAACAACTGTCCCAGTTAAGGGGGAATTGAGCTTAAAAAAAAAAATAACCCCGGCACGTACATTCTTTAGTTTTCTTGACTAAGTCAGAAACCTGTGATTCGGTGGTTGTCGTTTGTTGCTAATTGCCATATTTGTTTTTCATTTTTGGGTTTTAGCATACTTTGGTTGTCTCTTTTGAATTGTTTAACATGTTTTCTCAGGGCATTAAATGGCATAGTAAATGATATGAACAAGATCTTAGAATTGTATGAATGCACAAAACGCAAAGTGAATTGTGAAAACTAAGCTTTCCACTACAGATTTTCTATTCGGTAAATTTAAAATGTCCATATAAGCTTGAAAATCGTTTGATTTGGATTATAGGTCACATGAAACTTTTGATATGACCTATTTATGACGATTAAAAGAATATATGCGATCACAATAATTATATTAGTAGTCATCAACAAATGACAATAAATAAGGAACATTTATGGAAAGATAATTTAGATATCAACCCACATTCAAGAAAATTTCTGTGTTTCCTTTTATTTTTTTTATATAAATAAATATGAGTGGAAGATTTATAGTGCATTTTAAATAAGATGAACCATGTAATTACTTTCCATCAAGAAATCCTTTATTATCAGTGCAGTTGAAATGCAACTATTGTTTGCGATTTGCAAAACCTGATGATACATTGTTTATCATCTAGGTTATTTTCTTAGAAACATTATTGTATATATGATGAAGAGAATAGCAAAATAAATTTAAGTCTAAAAAATGTCATTTCACAACCCACTTCTCCTACTGGAATCATCTCACAATATTTCCTTTCCTTTTACTTGATTTATATGTCACAATTTTGTTGTCAATTGTCTGTTTCTGTTTAAGAGCATAAAATAGTTCCTGAATATGTAGGTCCAGGTTATCCATGAAGTTAATCTTGGGTTTCCGTCCCAATAATTAGGAACAAGATTTTCCAGTATTAGAACATTCCGTATATTATTATATGATTATTTCAATTGAAAGGAATATTAGAGTCAGGCATAATAGATATATTTTCAAATATGAAAATGTAATGTACACTTTCATTTGTATGTAGAATGAACTGTTATTTATTTGAATGAAAGCCAAAACAAAAACAAAAAAAAAACATAAAAAACAGGTGAAACGATATCTTTTTTTCATTTTACGCATTCACAACATTATAATACAAGAACAGCTTATACTTGTTAAAGGGCAGCTACCTTGAAAATGTTTTATCCGTGTCTATCAATATTGTAGTTTCACCATCAAATTTGTGCATGTACATTTGTAAAATAATATACATTACATAATACAGTTCCCCCTTTCAATATAATTTTTGAAATTTAATACAGGTATTGATATAATATGTGGTTTCAATTACTTCAAATAGACAATATTCAAAAGACCAAAGTGAATTGAAATTTTCCAGCCAATTGAACATACAAACAATTGTTGTTCTATATTCTGACATTTGAGTTAGAACCAAAACTTTAAAGGGTAAAAATAAAGTCAATTCAGTCAATACATGTAGACACGGAATGGACACACTTAGGGTAATTCCCTACCTTTACAGTGGTTCATAACATTCCTGGCTATATTTGTGGTGTGGAATGTATAACAAGACAAGGTAAATATTTTAAAAGCTATGAACAATGTAGATATGTGACCATTGTTGTCAATATAATGTAAATGGACTATGCAAAAGCTTGCCATATCAATAAGGATTTGTAATTGTTGTTTAAGCTTTTGTAAACTGTATATTTTGTTGTTGTTGTGGAGGGATATACTGCAGTTTAAAACTAAGTATTTTGCCAAATTTTGTAATTATGAATTTGAATAAATAACTAATGTTTCGCATGTTTTGATTAATTATTTTCGTTGTTGTTCAAATTGGAAAATCACTTATAAAATTGATTGAAGGAGAAGGAAACCAAATTATACTTGTATTATTCACAGAATCAATTATTTAACAAAATAGTTATTAAACATTTCATATGTATGTTATGGTAAAAAGAATATCAGAAGTCTGTTTATTTGGTATTTTTAAGTAAATTGTATATGAATTTCCCATCCCGCCTGAACTTGTGACGTCACTACTAAAATTCAGTTTCCTTTTGGCATCAGTATAAACACAACTCGAATCCCAAAATATTAACAAAAACACTTGGTCGAGTATTGAAAATGAGAGAATCAGATAAATTTATGATAAGTTCTAAATGCGAACCAAAATACTAGGCGGTGGAAGTTAAGACGCAGTTCCGTAGCCAAGTCAGTATTCGTCTGCTGATCAAGTCCTAATTTAACTTACAAAGGATGTTGCGATTATGGAAATTGGTAGGACATGCCAACTATCAAGGAGTGATTTCTTTACATGCAAATTCGTCCATCAAATTTATACGGGCATACATTCTCGTGTATATAACAACGTATTTGATTTTAACGAAAGAAATATCTATAGTACCAAGGATTTGTATAGTAAGAAGGATTGGAATATCGTGGTTTATCGTTTTATCTTACTCGGCGAGACTTCGCGCTACTCATCACTGCTACTTGCCACTTACGATAACGAAACAAATATTCGGTCATTTTTTGTATACATGTATCGAGTTATTTTCTTGTTTTTGTTACGTATAGACAGTGTTGTGATGGTAAGCGACATTATATTTGTTTTAAATTAAATAAAGTATTCAGTTTTCAATCAATCGCAAATGTAATTATTATTGATTCCCACTTACTTTTGATGAGAAAACGTAATTAAAGTGTTAACTTTTGATAAAAAAGCGTAATTAAAGTGTCTAACCAATTATCATGTGTAAGAACCGTGTTTTTGTAAGTTAACTTCTGTAAACTTTTAATTTCAATCAATTGTCAAAACATTAAAAAAAGATCCTTTTCTTGTAAATGATGACATTATTGCAATATGAAAATTTGCTTCTTCCGAAACTATCAGGTCAACTTCGGGAAGTAGGTGCAAAACCTTTTTTGTGACAAGCTCAACTTATCTTACCACAGCAAGTGATTGTGAGCTGCTATTTCGCCAATTACATAGTTTGAGAACTGACCACACGTTTCAAGAAGAAGTTACTGTATTGTGTCTAGCAATTACTCCAACTATTGTCAATTTGTTTATCCAACTATTTTTCTATTTTTCGAGGACATAATTGGTGAGCTTTTTGTGCTACAAATTAAGGTCGTCAAGCATGAATCTGACACACAACAGTCAAATCTATGTACAAATGACCAGTCCATCTTGTATTATATAGCCGGTTTCATTATAAAGGCATTGAAGAAACCTTACTCAGTGTTTTCAGTAATAAATTATCCACTGCAAGCAACTTTTTGAACTAATAACATTACATTTGTAAATGCATATGGGAAATGAGTTTAACATAAAGGACAGAAGGGGTCATCAGAACCTAAGTGATACATTTTTCGTTCTTGTCAGAGAACTTGAAACAATTGTGCGTAAATTAATAGGTCAACCTTAAAGTGCCAGCTCTCTGTCATAGCAGCCTCTCAAAGAGTCAATCATGAAATTATTCATGGTTACGTATTATACAGACATTATCTTGAAAAGAGAAACTTGTGATACCGTGTCATCTATCACAGAAGACATCGTTCATCTTTTTCTGACTGTACGTGGGTACGCTTTCACACGTATTGAAGGAAATAAGATAAGTAACAGCATGTAGTAAAGCTTCATCTGGTTTGCGTCAAGTATTAAGGGAAAAAGTTTCTAATTAGTCTGACTTTTTAGTGTGTTGTAACATTCATGTATGCTAGGTGTAACTATTATGAATATTGTCTTGGTAAACATGATAACTTTTGTGTTTATTATCTAACAGTATATACTTTTTGAACGTTTTTAGCTTGTATTGACCTTATAGCATACATGTACATGTAAAACACTATGACTTCTGTCTAACGTGATATGAAAAAATTATGTTTTTACTTAAGAGTTTGTCTAAAAACTGATTTTCGCACATTGATTTTTTATGTATTGGGCTGTTGGTTTTCTCGTTTGAATTGTTTTACATTTTGTCATGTGAGAGATTTTAATAACTTGCTATGATGTATGGGTTTGCTCATAGTTGATTACTGTACGATGACATACATGTAGACTACTAGTTGCTAAAATCTTAATTTGATATTAGGTGGATAGTTGTCTCATTTTCTATCATACCACGTCACCTTATTTTGCTACATGTACTCATAGACATTATTAATCACACTTATTAATATGAAAAACTGGACTAAGGCAATGGCGGGAGAGAGACATAATTAATATACACTCACCACCAAGGAGTTATAGCAGATTCACAAAATATTATATGAATCTGGCATGTTAAGGAATTTGATAAATGATGTTCAATAATATATTTTTACATTAAAATATAGACATCCGATTCAACTGGTATCACATCTATCAAGTCACTATCAAAGTTCACTAAACACATAGAGTCGCTCTCAAGTTCTGATAAAAGAGATTGAATGTAATTAATCCAATGTAATAAGAGCAAAGTTCTGTTCAATAGTCACATTCAGGTTTACCGATAGAGTGCCTGTAGATTGGTACAACTAGATTATTTGAAGGTAGTCACAGTTTTGCTTAAGTGTATATGTTTGTACACTAGTTGTTAAATCTTCAAAAGGCATTGATTGTCAAACTAACTAGGTTAGAATAAACGTTCTTTTAGAGTTGAACATCTTCTACATCTGGCTGTGTGCATATTGATTCAATTTCTACGATCACTGCAGAATTTTTTCAATTTCATATCTTTTTGAAGGCATGCTGTCAGTAAGTCCACATGATTGGTGTATGAATGGTCAACTGCTGTTGGCACACAACTGCTTAGGGTGTTTTGGGGACTTTCTTTGTGATGGACATTTCTTCTTTTCTTCAGTTTTGGCATTTTGGAAAATACTGAGGAAAAAAAATTGTGTAATATTTAGTTGGCAATAAAAAGACAATATCATATGGCTTTAAAGTTTTCAATATCACAACTGTATCAACAAGAGACACCAATATAACAACAAGAGCTCTGCTCGAATGCTTATATTGGATGTACACAATGCAGGATTTATGTAAGTGTTCTATAGGTTTACGATTAAGCTACTGCAAATTCAGGAATTTTAGCAATGTTTTTATTATTGTTAAAATTTCTACAGGATAAGTGTAGATGTCGCAAACATAAAAATTCACATTTTTGATTTAATGGTGCTTATATAATAATTACAAAACTACACTATACATACATTTACATATCATAATAGGGAATGCAGGACCTAAATATATTAACTTGTATATAATGTCTTATTAATGCACGTATTTTATTAATAGAATTCTGTCTAAGTCATGTGTAAGTGTGCAAGATTACCCAATATCAATTGTTAGTTTTTTTATTCAATTCACATTTGAACATCAGTCATATTTTGCTTTTTTTATAGCACGAAGGGAAGATGCGTATGATGAAGAAAATACATAGTGAAGCTAGACTATAAATTTGAAAGCTCTTTTTCTTACTCTAAATCTGAATCAATGTCAACAATTTACATACATACAATTATATACAAAACTGAAGAGATGGATAGCTTTTGATTTTTAAATATTTTTTTTAACTCTTTTGAAAGCAATTTTAATTCCAAAACAAGCATATATAAGTGTTTCTCGTTTCTCGTTTTTTAATATAGATTAGACCGTTGGCTTTCCCGTTTGAATGGTTTTACACTAGTAATTTTTGGGGCCCTTTATAGCTTACTGTTCGGTGTGAGCCAAGGCTTCGTGTTGAAGACCGTACTGTGACCTATAATGGTTTACTTTTATAAATTTTGACTTGGATGGAGAGTTGTCTCATTGGCACTCATACCACATCTTCTTGTATCTATATAATTTTCTTTGTCAGAAATTGTTCAGTTCCAAAATCAAGAATGTCACGTCATAACATGTGTGTCTTCAAACGACACTTTAAAAAAACAACAGAAAAAATGATATTTTCATATCTTCATGAGTAATCAAATCAAACAAAACAGGATTGAATAAATATGAAATAAATAACTTCTGAAATTGTTGTAGTGTAATGTATCTTTGTAACACACCTTTCATTGCATATACATGTATCTAAACATGCGGGGTAATTTTAACTGTTGGACTGGTACCAGTATAGGTATTCATATAGATAAAAAATTATTTTTCATAAACTATCATAACATGTATATACAAAGTACCCAAACGTCCAGTTATTTTGTCAGTTTAGTTTGTTCATTTTTTTAACATAAAGTTAAATGAAGAGACTTACCAGACCAACCAAATAACCGTCCAGCATATATAGCATATATGCATAGACCAATCTCAATTGTTTTTTTTAAGAAAGAGTTACGTCCGTCGACCCTAGGTCAATGATGTTAATGATGTTATTGAATAATCTTCTCTTACTGTTATGTTATAACATAAGCATTATGACGTACATGTACGAGATGTATGGGATATTGAGCACATGTGCATTTGAAATGTTTTTGCTTTGAATAGCACTTAACCAAAAATGTCTTATATGTTTTTGTCTGGGTCTATCTTGATGTGGACATACATTTCGCAAACTGGACTTGATTAAATTATTGGCTAGCAGGGTT